AACCTAATATTTGCATTACCACATTTGCAGGACAGATGTTAGGAAAGCTTCCTATCTCATAGACACAGATCTTCAACTGGAATCGGCAAGATAATTCTTATATTCCTTCAGGACCTAACTATTCCTCCTACCCTAAACTAACCGAAATCTGTTTTAACAATCCAACTCAGCCGTATGGGAGCATACCATTATATATATCTAAGATTATATAAGGGTTCAAGCTTATAACTATTTGCAAACCTATTAATGACATTATAACTATGGCCATTAGCATCCTCTGGCGTCGTTTACCCAAATAATTAGTAATGAGTCGGATGCAAATTTTTAATATCATACAATATAAACACCAGTCAATTAAGAATTTACCTTAAAGGCTAATGTAAAACAGGCCTTCACATGGCCCGAATGTATCTAGATACCAATCTCTGTGATAATATCCTTGTCAAAATCAATTTCCCCAATGAATTTTTAAGAGGCAATAAATTCCTGAAATGTGCTCGCTCTCATAATATTCATTTTTATCAGTTCCTTCTATACTCCTACTCCAGACCAACACACTTGTTATTTGGAGATAAACTAATTTAATCATCAGAAGGTATCCAACAGGGTGACCCATATGGATAAGACATTAATACCCAATGTAACCTTAATTTAAACCTTTGGTATATTCTATGTATGTTTTTCTTAATAATATGCGCTTTAATGTAATTCTTTTTACTTTTATTAAATTTATATATTTTTTTTATAATATTAGAAACAATTTAATATTTTATTTTTAATAAATTGTATAAATAAAAAAGGAGTTTGATATTTGATTAAATATATTAATCATATGCTAAAATACCAATATAAAACTAACAGTTTCTTTAAAAATTTCTGGTAGAGCCATGCTAAAAAAATTAAAGATAGGTGTGTGTATATGACGTGCCTTTGCTTAAACCCCTTCTCTCCTCCGCCTCACACGACTGCATTCCTACTTTAATCTAGATTTTTTAACAACTCTGCGATAGCGTTATTTTATCCTTTTATTTGCAATTAGTTTAAAAAATAATTCAATAATATAAGGGAAAAAATTAAATTATTAAGCATTAAAACAATTTTGAATTTAATATTTATACTGGGAATTCTTAAAAAAATATATAGAATAGTTAGAAAAAATTAAGAAAATAACAAAATTTTAATTTAGCAATATCTTTTTGGATTTTTTTAAAAAATAATTAATTTATTCCCAGATTCTTAAGCGATTAAGTAATATTTTTTAAAGCGTTTCAATTTTATTCTAAGAAAACTTAAGTAGATATTTATAAACTGACGAATAATTTATTCCTTTTAAATTTTAATTTAAAATTGATAAGAAATCTATCTACAAAGGAATAACTATTTTTTTTTATATTAAGAGGAAGAATAATTAAATTTAATTTCTGTTTGTCGAAAAAGAAAATCAAGTTCTTGTGAAAGATCCAATAAATTTCATTTTAATTTATAAATTTGAGGAGGAGAAATATGTGAATTTTTAGATAGAATAACTGGAGATAGAGTAAGTTTTTTCCGTGATTTAGCTCATAATAGTGGATTCAATTTTTTTATCTGATGGTATAAAGAGACTCAAATTGTCATAATAGATTTTATTATCAGATTATGATAGGACGGTTAATTTCCTTTTTTTATTAAGAAAATAAAAATTTGTTTCTATTTTATTAAATTTAGTAATTACAGATCTAGTTTTTGAATAAATTTTTTAATATTATGTCCAAATTTTATATCCTTTTTTAAAATTAAAATTTATTTATTATTAATTTCGATTATAATTGTATGACATCGACTCAACTTCATTTTAAACAAATTGTTAGGTAGGAAAATAACTAACGAATATGTGTAGATGACAATGATGATTTTAATAATGTCCAAAGGCAATTAAAGATTGATCCACTAATGAGATTTTTGCGTATCCAAAGATTTACTATCAAACATATCGAAGAGTAAGCTAATTTTATCATATATCCATTAAAAGCTTTTTCACGAGATCATCACATTTCATGAATTTTTTTAGAGCTTGGCAACTTACGTAGGCATGATAAATTATTTAACCTTGATTAACCTGCTGATGATAAATTAATATCTTGGGTACTATTCATTTAGAAATTTAATCTTATGATAACTATCTCTTTAATAAAAAATTTAAATCCTAATATTAATTAAGGATATCTTTGAAAACAAAGATAATTATAGAAACTTTTCCTACGGATTTCTATTTAACGTAAAATTTTAGTAGTAAGACTCTGGTTATTATATCATTTTTTGATAAAATTCTTATGATAATTTCAAGGAAATACCTGAATTTTCAAAATTGTCAAGTGTTATATTGGAATCTGAACTTCTGCGGGATAAGTTTTTGCTAACCTGTATTATCTTAAATATCTCTTTTATTACATACATATTTTTGCAAATCCTTCTATTCTCTTTTTTTTATTATATTTAAGGCTAATTATATTCGATTTCTATACTGAATTAATCAATAAAACCGAAATGAATTATATTTTTTTTGAAAAATGGAAAATATAGCAATATTTAATTGACACAAGGAATCTAGCAATATTCAAAAGCAAATTTAATTAATAAATGAATATGAAAATCATATAAATTTATACGGTAAAAAAAGTATATTACTTATTTCTCACTTTCTTTCTGGCTTCGTTTAAAAAATTCCCATCTTGGTTTTATCAATAATCGCCCATTGACAGTTTGGATTATAATTAAGATAATAAAATCTTAGAATTTTTTTTTTATATAATTATTGCATTTTGATTATTTGACTGAATTAGGATGGTAAAGTAGAATGATACATGATCATATTATTGATCCACACTTAAGTTTTATTATATAAATTATGATATGTAAATAGAAACATTATCCTAAAAAAATGTTTTGAAGATATTAAAATTTGACCACATATATAGAAAAGTAAACTTACAAGATACTAGATGCTATCAGTTTTGTTCAATGAATATTTATTTTTTGGTTTAAAATTATGCCATATGTAAATAAATATACTGATGTTAGAATTTTTGTTTTATATGTAATAAAATTTGACTCTTTGGTCGAATTAGGATTTTAAATTTAAATAACATAAACTATAGCTGGTATTTGATCAAAAATTAGTAATTTTTTAATTTTTATGGATCTGGTATAAAAAAATCCTATTATTTCTGTTATTAAAAATATAAGATTGCTTAAAGACTTTGATTCACAAATGTGAAAGCTACATCCTACTGCCCATTTTCATCATAATTCTGAGTAGAAAGCATTTTCCTTAAAATTATTTAAATTTGGCAGCTCTATAGAATTAGGAACATCAAACTTACAAGAAGCTATATGTAAGCAGTCTTTTTTGGCGTACCTCCTTTCACATTAGAAATTAAAATTGATCGCTCCCTAGTCTTTGCACATGATTATCTAGGGACGTTTTACATATATGTTTAGCGTTATTTATTGAGAAATTCAATTTTTACTCTTTGTAATTATGAGCAACCTCGTTAAGTATAATTACAAATTTGTAAAAAAAAATCATTCAAAAACATCTAAAGAATCATATCATTTAAAACCTGCAATTAAAATTAAATTTTTAATTTATTAAGCTTAAACTGATAAAATTTCGTTTGAAATAATGGTATACGAGGTAAAAATATTTTGAATTTATAAACTTATCATAGACTGAAACGAACATTAGTGCCGAAAAAGGGGCTTTAATTGATTACATTTGAAACGCGAGAGGATATTAAGAAAATCTCACAGTTTTACTCTGATGATTTATCAGGATAGTATGATAAGTTACTATGTGATATAGAATTTTGGTATAAAATTCTTGCCAGAATAGAGTAGCCTTTGAGACCAAAAAATATTTAGCATGCTTTTTCCACATGTAAATACACTTTTATATTCCCTGCCTAATATCAAACATTGTTTTATTTTAGCTAACTTACCGATTAGTATCCGCACTAACAAAAGGTCTTTTTCAACTTAATAGCAGAAAACCGTTTAAATGGATTATGGCTATTAAATATTAATAAATTATTCTAGGTAAAAATAAGATTTTCGATAATTAGCCAAATCTCTGAGAAAAGTAGATCTCACTTTATAAATTAAAATCATAAAATTGCCATATGATTATAATATGTTCTTAGTCATAAAATTTTTATATGCAAAACTTAATTATAATAAATTCTTAGTCATGATATTTATATATTTTTTAGCAATAAGAGTTATTTAAATTTTGATAATATAATGATTTGTATCAATAATCTTGTATATATTTTTTAAATGCCGTTATGTTACAACAAGAATTACTTATATTTTATTGTAATTATATATTTTTTTAATATAGTTAATAACAAATTTTGAATATAATAATCTGCATAAATTTATATTTTGAAATTATAGTATCAAAATAAATACATGGTTAAATAAAGGTATGTTATTTATACTAAAAGTATTCTAATAATAAAATCTATAATGAAATTCTCTGTAAAATCTAATTAAAATAATTATTTTTAACAAATAATAAAATATAAGATATATTGAGTGATCATAAAAATGGGAGGTTTTGAGGGGCATTTTTTTTTCTCTTTCTACACAGAATGGATTGAATTAATTTTACAATTGAACACTAAACAATATTGATAAAATTTTGAGAATAATGCTTTCAGTCGCTATTAATCATAAACTTGGCCAAAATTTTGTTATTAATATTTTTTCATTTATGCTGGCTACTTAAGTGATTAGACACTAATAAAGCTCATAATATTGGTAAATTTTAGAATTAGTAAAGATAACTACTGAAAAAATTTATATTATATATTATTTTTTAGGGACAAATTAAGTTAGGGGGAGAAGCCCCCATAAAATATTTTTAGCCCCCCCCCCCCCCCCTTCCCCCCATATGAATAAATACTGGCTATACCACTGTCTATGTATAAATTTATTATAAAATAACTATGCCCATATATATAAATTATATTAAATCATTTTTTTTATAATCATTCTTCTATGCGATTCAAAAATGGATCATTGATAATAATTAAGTTTTTGATAATTAATTTCCCAATTATAAATGTAAAAATAATTTTAATTTCCCCTTTTTCCTTTATGATTAATAATTTAGTGGAGTTTGACATTCTCTCAAATTCATAGGGCTAATTTGGCAGTTATACTCTTTACCAACAGTTTCACTTGCCGCCATTATATTAAGATAGCTATAAGATTATAAAAACCATAAAATATTTGAAAATATAACTTTTTTTTACTTTTTCGTCTTGATATCCATAGGAAAAACTGTATCATTCTTGCATAAATACTTTAAATGATGCAAATTATACATTTTAAATGAGAAGATTTGTTTTTTTTAAATATATTTTACTTTAATGAAGTGTTCTACGTCAGTAGAGTCTATATTAACTTTCAAATGATCGATATTTTGGGTTATATTTTTGGCCTTAAAATTTGATAATTAATTATTAAAAGTTGACATTAATTTAGTTTTACCAAGTAGACCAAGTTAAAAGCGTCCATAATAATCACAGTCGAATAAACATCGCTAGTACTCTAAATTATTAAATATAGTATTTTTTTTCTTCAGTAAAATAATTTTTAACCTCATTGCAAAAAGTCGGGTAACCAACTAAATGATGAATTTTAAAATATAATTTTATTAATATGGTTACAGATTTTTATGTATAAATATACGAGGAGAAATATTAATTTATTTTACAATGCTCGTTTTCGGCCAATTTTTAAAAATGGTTAACTCAATATTTTAACCAGATATATAATGCATAAGCCTAGAAATTTAGATAATACATGTCCAATTGCGTGATCGATGAACAAAATCTTCAGGCTTGCGTAATATTTTTCAGGATAAATAATTGAGTCGGCCGTTTTTGAAAATCGGCTAATATCTTACCGTTTAACAACATCTTACCGTTTAACAACAATAATAATAAAAATTGTGAAATTTTATTTGGCAGAACTTAGATGTTCATATTTAATTCACAAATAAATGATAAGAAAATTACAAATAAAAGAATTATACTAAAATCTTGCATTACTTATTAAGGTCTATTATATAATCTTAAATAATTCGATATATGGTATCTTGACGATGAAAGATCTTGTTAAATTATTAAAGTTTTAAATATCTTTGAAACCAGTTCTAAAAATATTGGATTCATTCTCATTAAGTCAAAAATGTTAATCTGTTTACCGAGTATGAAACTGCAGGACTAAATAATCTATCCCTATTAGATTTACATCATCAAAAATCCCTACTTTGAGGATTCGTTTTGAAAATAATTTGGAAATAAAGTGATACAATTATTTATATGGAGAAAGAATTTGTAAAAAAAAATATAATAATGAACACTTTAAATAGACACATCAATTTAATTATCAATAGAATCACATAGCCACATGATACATAAATAATGACGAGTCAAGTCTGATAGGCTTAAAGCAAGTCCTCCTCACTATATTTATCGCGTCAAACTCTTTGATTTTACAACCCGAATCTAGTTCGAGAAAAAAGTGTTCAAGTTTGAACCCGACCAGAACCCGAGGATCGGGCCATGTTCCCGCTCTAGGTAGAACCGATACTATAATCTATAATGAGATTAGCTTCTTTTCATATTTCTATGAATAAAATTAGTAGAAACCCAATTTTGATATACATTAATTTAATTTTTACTAAGTTATCAAATCGTCCTTAGAATCTTTTAGAGGCGTTAAAACTTTCAACTGACTTAAAAGTCTTAGGACAAATGTTTAAAAAAAATTGTTAATAATATTAACGGGTTGATTTTCCACATCGAATAATTACATAATAGCGACTTGTAAGCAGAAATTTATAGGCTGGTAATTTCATCGAGATCTCACTCTTAACTATTAAAATATATTATAAAAAATGGCAAATAACAGCCCTTTTATAATATATAAATTTTAGATATTATATAACACTAATCATTATTTTACTGACTATAAATGTTTCATTTATTTTTGAATTAATTACATATGACCTTTATATTCATTTTTGTTGTATTTTGGCGTCAATGTGATTTGTAGATTATAATGTGTGATTTTATTACGATTTTAAGTCATTTAAGCATTTTTAAAAAATTTTAAATGATTTTACGGGAAATATATTCCAGCAGAATATATCATAGGCAAAATTTTATTTTTTAAATTTAAAAACGAAAAAATAAGTTAAAGTAGATAAAATAAAAACATTCTAACATATATACAATTAACTTATTATATATCATTTTTTGTTATTTTTTTAATAACATATTCAATTTTAAGTTATATTATATTTAAATGAAGGTTTACCTAATCCTGTAATCATTCCAGATGATACTTCCATTTTCAATCCGATATTGCTAAAAAATATATGATAGTAAATTTAGATATATATATAACGATGTCGATAATATGTATAATTCGACGGTCATCATAGATTTTGATTGGAAAGGGGCGATGATAAATCACATAAGATTTTTTTAACATTTTAATATTAAATTTTTATTATACATATAAATTATAATTAGGTTTAAAAAAAACTTTGAGAAAATCTTCCTGTGGTCAAAAATTCTCACTTGTCTCTTCCCTATAAACATGTCAAAGCATAACAAATTATCAAATATTCATTGGAATAAGCCCCGCTAGGAAATATTTAGCCTCCCCCCAACGAAATATTGTAGATTTAAAATTTTTGGCCATTCTTACATTTAGAAGACATTTATAGTCATTAATATTATATAAATTATAATTAATATTCCCTTAGTCATTTACTAATATTCAGCAAACAGAGCGAACGAAATAAGATATTCATATTATTTTATAATTTATTTAGCACGTTCTTTAAATTTTCAAAACTATAATCTTGTCAGAAATCTATTCTGGCATGTGAAGAAAACAAGCAATAATGTATGCCTTATTATTATGGACATTGTCTGTCTCGATAACAAACTCTATGGTGTATTTTGTAAGGTTATGTCATAATTTAGTGTATCCGATATTTTTATTAGAGTTCATTAAAACTCCATTACACCATGGTAGCATAGAGTTCCAATTTCTATAAATTGAAAGAATTTTATTTTAAACTAGGGCAGCATAATATCAATCTTAAATACGAAAAAAATATACTTTAATTTCAAAATTTTTAGTATAAACTTGTCTATTTAGATTTTCAAACCCTAAGATAAATTACAAATTCCTATATGTTATTGGTTAAAAAAAATATTTCTTATTATAATTATTGTAAAACTTAAAAAGAAAAATAAAAATCACTTTTTTTTACTTCCAATTTCATAAATAATTTAGAAATGGTCAAATTATTATTATGCTCAACTTTAACAAAATAAATTTCAAAATAATGTATTTTTTTTTCATATTTTATTTTCAAATTATTTTAATTTTATAAATGCAATATCATGATACCCTGTTGTAAAATTATATTCCCTTTATACCTTAGTACAATTCGGGATTACACTGAATCCCAATATTAATTATCATATAGTTTTTACTTGTCGAGTTCTCCTTTAATTAAAATAATATAATAGTAATATTATTATTAAATTATGAAAACAACGCTTTACTTGAATTGTGATTATTTATAAATGATTCAATTCCTCTAAACAATAAAAATATGTATTAATTAAAAACTAATAATTCTAGGGTTATACATGTTATCTTTGCCAGAATTTAATTCTGTATATGTGCGTTTGGATTTCATCATTATAATAATATTCTCAATAAAGTTTTCTCCTAATAGTTGATTGATTGGCTTTTTTTTTTATAAAATTATGTTTTATTAATATTATTACTAAGTTATAAAACAAAATGAATTAAAACTATGAACGCATATAAAAAAATATTTAACTTCTTGGAATGGTGGTAAGGTATCAAGTTTAAGCGGCATCAATTTCGTCTAAAAAAAATGATTTTTTTTAAAATATATAGGCATATTTAGGATTTAAGTTGGCAAATATTTATATTATATATATGGTTTTTATTCAACGCTTGAAATGAAATCTAATAATTATAAAAAATAATCGTGGTTATGGAGGAGGTAATTTTGTTATATCAATATAAATTTTCTTTATATTTACCTATTATAAATTTTAATTTTTATCTATACCATTTAACTTGATAGAAAAGGGGGTAAATGCTAAGAGTGATATGAGATAAAGGAATGGTTTACTAAAATTTTACCATACTAAAATATTGACGAAGAAGGGAATTAGTCTTTCTAATGTTAACTTAATTTGGCCAATGGTGATATTATTTAATATAGCTAGGACTAATATTATAATTTAAAAAAAATGATTAATTATATGCTCAATTTATAAAAAAATAATTCAAATTCAACCAGTGTGTGTTTTTTAACAGACAGATGCTGATTTTGTTCAAAAGTAAACTTAGAGATTAAAAACAAACAAAAAAATTTTTGATTTCATCTTGAAAAGATTTTGGCATTTTTTAAGTAGAATTTAATTTAAAATCTCTGGTAGTAAACTTCCACAAAACAATTTTTTAAATAACAAACTTACTTCTCTTATATTCAAAATTTTTTGGGTGTAACTAATGGCCCACGTTATCATTTTCCCTCCTTCTAATTACAATGATATACTTTACCTAAAATTCTTTATATTAACTAAGGTCTAGTAGTCATTACAAGTAACCCATCATTATTGTAATTTCTGTTGTATTAATTAGAATGTTATAATTTATGTTTGCATTTAATTAAATAGTTGTTTATATAAATTTGAATAGTTACGGAAAATAGTTTTTTTTTATATATAAAGTTAAATATTTAGAGTTCATGTAAAATTTGAATATGAATATGACGAGATTATATTAATTTTATTAGTATAAATATAGAGAAAAAAAATGTAATATTAAGAAGAAATTTTTATAAATTTTAAATTTATTTTTTGTTACTTTTTCCTTTTGTGTTAATTTATAATTGATTAATTTATATAGTATTTAATAAAGAATTTAGTATTTAATTTTATTTATTTAATTTTATTTATTCTATTTTTCTAAATTCACATATATAACAATTTCTACCAATTATTCTTTCTTATTCACCCCACTCTCTATCTTATAAAAAAAATGAAGAAATAATAATTAACTTTATAGAAACACGGTTATTACATTTATATACGAAAATATCATTCTATCTTAAATATTGTTGTCATTTACATTTTTATTAATAAGAGCCAATTTTTTATAACTGTTCGCCAAATCTTCACTAATTGCTTCGATCTGTAAATATAAAAATAATAAATTATGAATAACTTATAAAATCATGAATCAGAGTAAGGGGGGAAACCAATTTGAGATTAAGCATATTTCACAGTTTTAGCGAGACAAAACTTTTATTTTTGATTGATTTATGAATATAATGTCAAACGTTTAAAATAGTCTTAACCTCTTACCAAATAGATCAAAATAAAATGAGGCTTGAATTATAAAAAGTTTAAAAAAAAATCATTGAATATCTTTTTTTTATATCTAATAATTTTTACTAGCAAAAAAAAATGTGAAAAAGGTTAATTAAGATAGAACTTTCAATTATTTTGCTTAATCAAAAAATTAAGTTTGTAATGATCATATGAGTAACTATGAATAAAGGGGTTACCTTGTCTAATAATTCGTTATTTTGCTTTAAAAAGAATAAAAAATCTAACATTCTATGACCAAATGCTGATATAATATTGAGACATTTCTTTTGATTATCATCTGAATCTAAGTGGGAATATCCTTTGAATAACTTTTTTTCTACATTTTGAGCTTCTTGTAGGAACCTAGGTGCCAATGTAAGTGCGTACATTAATATGGAAAAATCATGGAGGTCTCTAAAATATTTTTGGGTTTAATATATATGTTTTACATCATATTATTGTTTTACATAAAGGGTATCCTAAAGTTATTATTTAACTTTTGAAGGGTAGGAATTATATTGAAGAAAAAAATTATATTTAAGATGTCAAGTTATTCTTAGAATTATAAATTGATTTGAAGAAATACATATATAAATACCGAACAATAATATGAGTTAAAGAGCCATAAGAATTATTTTTTGATATTAATAATTAAGTTATAATTTTAGCCTTTAATCATGCTACCGTTTGTTTTTTTTAAGTGTCCAAAATATTTTATTAATTGTTTAATAAATATCTATCAGAGACCTGTAGAGGCCAACTTTTAGGTCCGGCCTGGTTTAAAAAAAATTTTGAATTTTCCACCAGTTTTAACCATATTTTAAAATATTTTATTGTTTTGAACAAAAGCTCTAATTTGTGAAAACCTTTTTTTTTAACTAAAAATTAAAAATATGAGCAGAAAATGAATATTAAAATGATTTTCCGACATTTTTATGATCAATTAATATAATTTAAATATATCTTTCTTTACAAAGAGTCCTGGCCCAGCATTCTCAAGTTTTAGTTTTTTTTCCAAATCATACCTTAGATACAAGCCAAGATTACGGGTTTATGACAAATTTACAGTGAATTTTTTGTTGTTTCATAATTTAAATTATCATTTTAATATCTTCAATAATATGATTATTTTATTCTTTTTAAAAAGGTAATTAAGGGGAGGGGTAAAATAAACTAATTTCACAAATTTTGCTACGGAGGGTATTAATAATTTCAAAGGATTAGGACAATAGGAATCCCCATATTTAATTGAATAACGATAATATACTAATTGACTCAAAATTACTTACTTAAGATCTTCCGTGGACTTGGAGAAATTCTGTGTGAAATTGTTCAATAGTTTAACGTATAACATGTCTCTGATATTTATATTCATGTTTTCAGGCAAAGTTATATTGCCGGCTTTGGCTAGATCTTGAACAAGTTGTGTAAGGTTAGTCTATTCCATTAAAAAATATAAAATTTACTGAATTAATGATCGTTGAATAAATCATCTGTCTTTGCAAAAATTATTAAAATATAATCTCTAACCTTCTAGAAAAAGTTGGTATGATTTAAATATCGAAAAATATTTGGATGTGGGAAGGGAGGGGTTTGTAAAAATTGTATAGAAAGTTTAATCTAAAATTAATGTCCTTGACGAATTCATCCCATCCAAAAGTATAGTATCAATGCGGCGTAATCTTTCAAAAAAGATTATTTTGACAATTTAAGTGTATAAACAAATATATAAGGGGGATATATTGACCCGGGGCAGAATCTATTTTTATATAATTTTTTACGCTAGTTAAACCGTAAATCTATTTATATAAGATGCTTCAATAGTTCTAAAAATGTTTTCTAAGAAAATATCAATATGAAAAGTTTTAAATAATGCGAAAAATTATATTATAACTTTTTAAATTTTATTTTATTTATTTTTTATAAAAGTTACTCCCAAACTTTTTTTTTTTAAAAATAAAAATTTTTTTATTATTCATTTATCTTTAAAACATATAAATTAAATATAAAAATAAAATATGAATATATATATATTAAAAGTGAATATATATTTCAAAAATATCGATGGCTCTAAAAAGAGCTTATAGTAAAAATGTTCCTAAAAAACAGTGATAATTATGTTTAAAAATTTCTAATTGTAGTTTTTGTTTAAGATGAATTCTCAAATGTTAAATTAATTTTTATCATGTATAAAAAATATTGAAAATTTAAATTTTCAATTTGACTCTATAAAGTCCAACTTTTTTTTGTAATGAAGTAAGAAAATTTTTTTTTTAAAATAAATTCTATATTTATCTATTCCTTAGATGTTAAATTTTATTTTACAATGTATATAATATTGATTCCATATGGCATCTATTGGCTTCTAATTACACAAATTATGTCCTTATGAATAAGAATGGTAGCATTATTATTAATATTGTCACAGATGTAAGAAAGTCTATCATAAAAACTAAAAGAAATATAACGTATAATTTGGCCAAAATCATCGGAACATAAAAAAATAGGGAAAGGTTAAAACATATACTAAAATGCAAGCAAAAGACTATATTAGCCTGATAATTATTATAATAGGATTGAAAAGGGAAAAATGAATATAGAGGATTCCTCTGGTGTAACGTTAAATATATTCGATGGCATAATGTTTTAAAAGATATGCCAAAAAAATGCAAAAACTCATTTTCTGATATCTACTAATGGCATATTTTAAAAAAAAAAACCGTTTTTTTTGATAATACGTTTTTATGATCAATCTTCTTATCTTTGCTTCATGTAGGCGCAAAAGCGTTCATATAAATTTATAAGAGTTGTTGAAGGATCTCTATACTTAGAATGTGGTGTATCTAGATATTATTTTAGACGATGTATCTATATCTAGATCCATTTAAAAAGTATCTTTTAACAACTCTGAAATTTATATATAAGGAATATCAAAAATATGCAAAATTTAATATATACTATTTGAAGTATTCCAGATGCATCCTTTAAGGGGATCGTGATTGAGCGATCTTCGAAAGTGGGATTTTGGATGTCTATCAAAATATTCTAAAAAATTGGTTATAAACGATTGTATAAACACTATTTTTTTTTGTTACGCAGGGAACCCTATATAAGACGGTTGAGGTTTTGCAATTTGAAATTTATATAATTTGTTACTTTGCTATTAAGATAAAGAAAGAAAGAAAGAAAGAAAGAAAGAAAGAAAGAAAGAAAGAAAGAAAGAAAGAAAGAAAGAAAGAAAGAAAGAAAGAAAGAAAGAAAGAAAGAAAGAAAGAAAGAAAGAAAGAAAGAAAGAAAGAAAGAAAGAAAGAAAGAAAGAAAGAAAGAAAGAAAGAAAGAAAGAAAGAAAGAAAGAAAGAAAGAAAGAAAGAAAGAAAGAAAGAAAGAAAGAAAGAAAGAAAGAAAGAAAGAAAGAAAGAAAGAAAGAAAGAAAGAAAGAAAAAAAGAAAGAAAGAAAGAAAAAAAGAAAGAAAGAATATTCCGATAATTTATATATCCTACCATCTATCAAGAACCAGCTAATTGATTTCACAAAAAATCTGGTTCTAGCTGGATTCAAATCCAGAATATATAGGTGGTTATCAGATGATGCACTTACCGCCTAGGTCCCCAGAAACTACTCAAAAAAAACAATTCTTTTGTTTATAAAAGGATAAAATCATAACGCTATTTAATAATCTTAATAAAATAGATAAAATAAAACGTTCAAAAAGCTATCCATTCTTGCCCCTTTTTCTGGTGAATCTTAATAAAATAGATAAAATAAAACGTTCAAAAAGCTATCCATTCTTGCCCCTTTTTCTGGTGTTTTTATGTTTGAGAAAAAAAAATTTATGTTTTTTTTAAAATATAAAAACATACTTGATAATAAATTGTTGCCATCATTTTTATATTATGGCCTCTACTTTCATTTCCGCCCAATATAGCATGTAAAGTTCTAGTCCATTCAGCATATTGATCAATTATACTGTTAATCACGGTAGAATTTCCAGCTTGAGAATCATCGATATTTAAACGATCACTATTTGGATACGCAAAAGAAATCTCAACGGCTTTCTTTCTCCCAGCAGTTATATTGTAAAAGATACCTATCGGTACTGTCGTTTGTTCAAGTACTTTTAGTTCCGTTATCCGCTTCCATATTTCTTCTTTATTAAGCATAGATGAATTGGTCTCCGCCGTTAAGAATGTATAGTTATTTTCTTTAAAAAATTCGACAAACATTATCTTTTTCTCGGTTTCATTTTTTTTGTTATATTCAACACAGGAGCCGAAATAATTTTTAAGATTTTTTAACACACTCCTTACATTTGCCTTCAAAAGTCTATTGGGTTCATAATTACCCTCTATTTGAATCAAATAAAAAAATAATAATTTCATTTATATATTTTAAAAAAGGTAGCCATTAAAAAGAAATTTTTTTTTTAACAGAAGGATAAAAGAAATTTAAAATATTACCTATAATTTCGATCAATCTTTCGTATCTCAAATTTTCTTTCCATTCAAGGTGAGTACTGTATTCGCATTTATCAAGCAATACATCTTTGCACATTTTTCTGTCATCCCCGCTTGCTGAACTTGAACCTGAACCATCGCAGACTTTAAAATTAAATTTAAATGAATTAATAATTACAAAAATAATGTTTCTTAAAATCTCCCTCACTTTGTCCGAACTCCAAACACGGCCAGAATCCAAATTTTACCCTTAAAAATAAATTGACTAAAAACTTTTAAATTTAAGCCTCAACTTGAAACATGGATGCATTCTTAAAGATAAAAAATAAATAATTAAATCCATTTAGAGTTAGTTAGTTGAAGTTAAGGAAAGTGATATAACCAGCGATGATTTTAATTTTTTATTTTGTTTTTTACAGGATTAGTATAAGCTAGGTTACAGAAAAAAAGCACCTTAAAAAAATTTGAATTTGGAAAAAGAAAAAGAAAAAGAAAAACAAATTGACCTAATTAATAATTAAAACATCAAAATTTCAATGATAAAATGTTCAGTTAATAAGAGAATTTCAAAAACAATTCTGTTTCAGTTCCGTTACTTCTATCGATGTTGTGTAACCGATACATTTTACCTTCATTGTTTTAGTCGCAAAATTATATAAAATCGGGCATTAAGTCTTATTAGTTAATTGTAATGACTTATGATATTTTACATATACTGACACATATATAGATAATTTTGTGCAGGAAACCTTAATCCTTTTTAAAAAGAAAACCTTCAAAGAATTTTAACCAGAGACAAAAATATCTTGAGGGAAATAATATTTAAAATAATATTAACGACCAAGGAGGGTCTTGTAAAATTTATATGTAATACGTTACTTCAACAACTAACAATTACAAAAATAATTTTACAATTTGTAGTGTAAACTAATAATTTTATGATTTATTACATCATTTTCACCAAATTTTAATTGACGCAAAATATGGCGATCATGATATTTTGGCCAATTATGCTTAATAATTCTCTTACATTTTTGTGACACTTTCGACCATATGGCATATTAGTCTCTCCACATTATTTTAAGATTCTTATCGTTTGCATGAACATTTATTATATATTCCTATCCCTTTTCATTTTCAGTTAATAATATCGATTATCTCCTTTGCCTCAATTATTTTTAATATAACTACTTATTAAATTAAAAAATAAATAATTTCTACTAGAAAATATTTTAGTTCCTAAATTTTGTAACCCTTAGACATGGACCTAACATAACTAATTAAATTACAAATCAATCTGGAAGGAAAGAAGGGGGTTATCTTGATATGTGTCTTCTATTAAAGATAATAATATTTAAAAAAATTTTTTATAAAAAAAATTAGCCAAGTGAAAATAAACTAAAAATAATTTGAAAATACTAATCTATTTAAGAATTTAAAATAAATTTTATTTTATAAATTTATTGGCTGTTTGGTTGCTTTAAACCAAATTCAAAACTATTAAATTTTAAAGTAACTAAAAATCTTATAATTTATTTTTGTAATTATTTAAAAATTTTCTTATTTTAATTTAGTATATTATACTTAACGTAAAATAATATTTTTTATTTTATATAAGCTAGCTACAATCTATACTAGGTAAGCAATTAAACAAATGTTAATGTTTCGATAAAAATTATTTTGTTTTATTTAATTATTCAAAATTTTTGAATTTGTATATACTTTAATATTCTTAGAAAAAATGTTTCATTTTAAGGTATTAATAAACAATAAAAAAATCTTAATTATTTATCAAAAATTATTACATCATTATAACATTATGTATCTTAGTAACATGACGTAAATTAGAATTACTACGCCAAAAAAACTAGGTAAAAAAAACTGAAGATAAAAAAAAATTAAAAATTATAGAAAACTTTAGAAAATGAATGTGCAAGAAAAATAAGCTTTAGAAAGCAAATCGGTATATATATTTAATGAATAGAATAAAATAAAATTATAAAAATTAGTAAAAGGTCAATTATTGTTAATTTAAAATTTGTGCATGTACTTATATCCCAGTTTGTCAGTTAAGTTTTTTGGGAATAATAATTGCAATTGAATCTTAAATAGTCGACTTTTTCAGTTATTTACTTTTTATCTTTTTTTTGGAAGATAATATGTATACTTTTTATTTAGGACTTTTAATTTTTATATCTTTTTAATAATAATTTTCTGTATATAATATAGTGTTATGATGATTTAATGAAACATATTGAAGATTAAATTCAAACCCATTCATATATAATTATAATATTTGCAAAAATAATTAAAATATAGACAAAGCATTATTGAAATTTCTTTTATTATTCCTTTTGTTATTTTAATTTTTTTTTTTACTTTATTCTTTATTTTATTAAATTTTTTTTTACATAAAACCTATTTTAAAAAAAATTATAATTTATAAATTTATAATTATATAATTAAAAATAAAATTCTATAATGAAGTCCCCAAAAAGGAACCATAATTGTGTCTAAAAATTTCTATTTGAATTTTTTGTCAAATAAAAAAAAATTCTCTGGGTTCATTTGTGAAAAGTCGTATTTTATTATCAAGATTTTTTAAAAACATAAATGTTGAAGGCGAAAAATGCCCGTTAGTAGAAGCCACTACTGGAGTGAATATGAAGTTTTTAAAATATTTGTATTTGTTTGTCTTTTTAATTTCTGCCTGTGTTATTAAATTGAAATTTATGTTTGAAGAGAATAATGAGACACACGTGTAATCCCATATGAGTAATTTGCCGAGGGCCCAAGGTATGGTTGTCATACCATCAGGTTTTAAACCATCTACTTTACATAAATTTGATGGTTCAAGATTGTTTGGAATGTTTTAATTATTTTTGCAAATATTATAATTTCATATATATGGGTTTGAATTTAATCGTCAATATGTTTCATCACATTATCACAACACTGTATATATATTTAAATTATTTATTGAAGATTTTTAAAAACTAAAATTCTGTTTTGAAACCGGAAATGTATTCTAGCATGTTTAGAGTATATCTATATCCTATTTAATTTTAGAGTATTTTCTCCATAAAATTTTCTCGTTAAATAATTTATATAAAAAATCCATATAAAAAAATTACTATAATTTATGACTAGTTCAAAAGTTCTATGTAAAATTATCTAAATTCGCAGTGTAAGTTACCCCTATATATGCAGAAATATTTTCTCATATCAAATTAGATTTTTTTGAAATTTAAAAAATCATCATCAGTAAATGATTTAAAATATATAGATTCTGTATCCCCTATGGAATACATATCCCAATACGACATAAATAAATGAGCATTCGACTGGAATATTTCATTCAGATAAAAGCTAATTTAGTAAAATGCTTATAAATTGTCTTACAAATAAATCCGAGGATAGACAGAGAAACTATGAAAATTGGGATAATTTTGATCATTTCAAGAATAAAATAAATTTAACGAATAAAAAGAAAATTTCAAAAAATATCTAACTAATTAAGGATTTTTAAAATTAAGAAAAAGGATTTTAAATGACTTTAAAATTATTTCAAGCCAGTATATTATTTTAGGAATTATTTTTTTATTTATGTTTAATTTTAACTTTTTCAAAGAAAATGTTTAATAGATAGATAGACATAAATAAATATTAAATTTTAAAAATTATACGTCAATAAATTTAGGGGAATTTTTTTTTCAATGTTTTGTTTGAACAAAAATAAATAAAGGAGGGTCGAATTTACTCAATAATAAAATTTTTCCAAAAATTTCTTTTACTTCATTTCGTATCTTAAATTTAAACAAATTTTTTTGCAAATTCAGGCATTAAATTGCAAATTAAAAGTATAAGAAATTGAATAAATTAGATAATATTACATAAATAAGTTAATCATTTTATACAATAATTTATACGTTTAAATATATTATCATTTGATTATATGATAATGTTGATTAACATTATTCATTATTTTATATTCTAAAATAGATGTGATAATATTAAATATCATTAGTAGTGTTGTTAAAAAGCCCAATTCGAGTCGATTTTTTAAAAAGACAAGATTAAGATTATAGCAAAAAAATGCTATGAAAGTATATAAATTTAGCAAGTCCAAGCATTTCTGTCAGCTATGTGCTAAATCTTCTAAATTACATAATGTTATTTTGGTTATAAACTTAATAGAGCTTTTTTTACTATCGACCTGAATACTTTTAAAATTAGATTTTCATATGTTGACTTTGGCTCATTTTAATCGAACATAATTATTCGACAAATTTTGTATATTTATAAAAATGAGGAGATATAATAAATTTGATTTAAATTTTTATTTTTAAAAATAAAGACTTAGCTAAGTGGAATTGAAGGATTTGGCACCAAGAAAAGAAAGAAAAGAAAGAAAAGAAAGAAAAGAAAGAAAAGAAAGAAAAGAAAGAAAAGAAAAGAAAAGAAAGAAAGAAAGAAAGAAAGAAAGAAAGAAAGAAAGAAAGAAAATATTAATTGTACCATCCAAGCCTTATGGTGGGGTTAAACCGGTTGCAATAGAGCTTTTTTTAAGGATATTAATAGCTTAGATAATGGTAATCAGGTTATGCGGGGAGAGAAGGAGTGGGCTTGGGTCTCAAGGAATTATTGATGGAAATTTATAAAAATTGTGACTTTTCAAAATCAATCGATCAGTATCGGAAGGAGGGGAGGGGATGGGGTGGTTGTATCTTGATATGATATATTTAACAATTATTAATCTTTCAGACTTTAGCATCTTATAACTATATATTAAGTAAGATATTTTCTGTTAGATTATAATTTTGATAAATGCTATAGTTTTAATAAAGATATTAAAATATAACTTTTGGCACTATAACTTGGTAAAAATATTACCAACTAAAATTTTAAACTCAAATTATACAATTTTGATTTAAAATGAATTTATAATTATTTTAAAAATGATTATAAAAAAATATTTTTGAATGATCTTAATTCGAAATACAATAATCGATAAAAGATTTCATTAGTTACATTTTTTTTAAATTTAAAATTTGAAGTTTATTTAAGAATTTTAAAAATTTTATTTTTATAAATTTATCATCTATGCAGGTTTTAAACCATTGCAAGGCTCGTGAAATTTTGAGAATTAATCAGAGTTGGACAGTACCACGAATACTTGTATCTAAGATACATGATGCAAAATCCGTTTGTATCTTGTATTCAGAATCTTTTTGACATTTCTAATAAGATACTAGTATCTGTATCTATGATCCTTTATTCTGAAGAGAATCTTGTATCTTGTATCTTTTTCATTTTCATTTTATTGACAAAAAGATAAAATTTTAGATATCACAGATGATTATTTTTCTTTTGGTGAAACAAATGTTGCTGAGATCAATAATACAAATAACATTTAGCTGGATGTTTTAAGTTATATTAAAGAAAGTCAAAATACATTATAAATACTTAAATTAAATATCATCCTTCCATTAAGGAAATTATATATATATATATATATAATACTCCAATACCTTTATCATTTCCAATTGAAAGGTTAATTAGTTTTGGAATAATGTTAAGTACTATGCCGAAACGGCAAAGGTCTAATGATAAATTATTTGAAAAATTTGATTATCTAATAAAATAATGAATGTACTTTAAATACTCTTTTGCAAATCAATATTTCTACTCCAATTAAAAATACTAGTCTCCCTTAAGAATAGGCTAATACTATTATTAAAATGCTTGATTATTATAATTAACTCATCATTAAATGCAGGCGCGTACGCAGGAATTTGGTCTGGGGGGGGATAATAAATTTTTTTGAGAAATATTATTGTTTTTTAAAAATATCAAGCATAAATTTATTAGGACTAATAACTATTCCTAATACACAATTTTAAATTAATGTGAATTATAAAAATTATATGTAAAGAATCACTTAAATGGCCCAAAATAGAAATTTGAATTTTTTGAGCCTTTACACAAAAAGTTTCTTAGGAATAATTGCATTTTGTATGTTATACATTTACAATGTAAAATCCAATCTTCGTTGTGATTGAGCTAATTTTTCAATTATCTCACCCTTGCTTGTCGTCAAATGCCTATGAATATTCAAAAATTCCAAACCTTTCAATCTACTTTCACATGTTGTACTTCTTGGTATGTTTTTCAGAGACCTGCAGGCCCGGCTCCTGGGCCGGACAATATTTTAATTTTTTTAAGGCCGGGCCCAAAATTTTTTTAAAAAACACCCGGGCCGGACCTAAATTTTTTTAAAAAAACACCCAAGCCGGGATGTATTTTTTAAAACAGCCTATATTTGAAATCGTTATTATTAGCTATAAAAATCAAAAATAAATATAATTTATTTTTAAAAAATTCAGGCCGGGCCTGAAAATTTTATTTAAAAAAAAGCCGGAAAAAGCCAAGCGGCCTAAAAATTTTTTTAAAAATAGCGTAAAAAATATTTAAAAAAATCCGGGCCGTGCCCTGCAAATGGTATTTCTGCAGGCCTCTGTTATTCTTCTTAAAAAAGAGAGTGTTCTCTCATTAGTTTACTAATGGAAATGTGTTTGAAATAATGCAGAGCATCCATAGCATTTTTTGGGACTATATCAACTATAGTTAATCTTATAAACATAGTTAATCAGCTAGTAAGGCATCATAAGATACTTTAACATCTTCATAATAAAAATCTAACAAATATTTTTTTTTTCTATCATCATCTGAAAAAGGTTGGGAAGGCTTTTGTGGAAGTAATATTTGCAGATGTAAGTGCTGCATGATATATTAAATATCTGCATCTAAGATAAACTCTTCTACTGATCCTATATTAGTGTTTTAACGATGAGCTTGCCTTGCTGTCGAGGGAGACAAATATTAAACACGTATAGCTCTGCTTTTGACTCAACAATAAAATATAAAATATGAAATTCTTCATCAACATTAGCCCTAATTTCCTTGAGTTCTGATAAAATGCTCTCCGCTATTCTCATCTTCTTAATAAAATCATTGTCATGTTTTTGAAAAATACTTAAAATAGTTGTATAATTAAATAATACATTCTAATGAATTTGGAATAAGCATTGAATCCAATAATTTTCTTGCTTCTGAGGAAATATTTCTTTCAGGCCATTGTAATATTTCAGTAATAGCAAATAATTGGCTCTTCTAACTCCTTAATAGCTGTTAGTGCTTGATGGAAGAGGCTCTATCTCGTTGGACAAGGTTGCAATTTCTTTTTCCCTGTTGGACCAGAAGTTTCAGAAATAATTATTATTTGACTAGAAATTTGAAAATGGTAGATAAATATTACGCCACTAAAAATTTGAAAATAATAAGTAAATATTACGCCGGAAAACTTGAAATCGAAATTAATTGATAAAATAACTTATCGTGCCACTGAAACAAGTAACTCTTTCACAAATAACACATATTATGCCTTTAAACTATTGAAATCCTTTACCTCTTTCAAGAAGAATCATTATTTTAAACTCAGGCAGGTAAACAGAATGATTACAGATCCTGAAGATCTGGATTTCTCACCATGGGAATGAAATTTCCTCATCAAATAACTTATCATCATTCTTAGTTTCAACGTCTTCCTTGTACAGCCCAACTCAATTATCTTACAATTCCCCTCATTACGACCAACTTCCTACTACCACGAAGTTAGGGCCTCCCAAATCAATACAACCGCATAGTAACGTGACCCATTCCGCGTCAAACACACAACTTTCTTCCACTGTATTAAGTAAAAACATTGATAGACTGCTCCCCCCCCCCAATCAAAAGTTAAATAGTAAGTAAAAAAAATAAAAAATCACAAGGCTTGCGGACAAGGTAAGATACATAGTGAGTATGTGAAAACGGATCCTATGATATGAGGGGAGATTCTCCTAACAATCAATATCAATATATGGAAGGAAGGGACTTTCCTAGTGATTGGCTTACAGCCATCCTGATCAACTTCCAGAACAAATAATCCCAAATTTCTTGAAGACTGAAGGGGAATTTCATTAAATTCCATAGTGTATTTGTAAATGTTATCTTAAATAGACTAAGGCCGTTGGTGGAAAGATTTTGTTGACTCACTAGTTTCGTCAGGAAGAACCAAAACTCAAGCATGAAGAGTTTGTTCATAGAAGGAACAAAGGTCTAGACATATATTATCGAAATCCGAGGCTTAGGCAATATTTTTCTGGCTAAAATATTAAGTTAGCCTTTTTTAAAAATCAGCTCAAAACGAGTCGTTTAACAAAACTATTTTTTAGTTACATGTAATAATGCGTTAACAAAAAATATATTTTAACTTAATATAAAAGGATATATAAAAAATGTCTATTTTTATTTTTAAAAACTGAAGCAAAAAATAAACAATAATATGTTAGAATCTCAGGGTTCAGGAAAAATATAAATCACTTTTTCCAATATTTTAGTAGTTTCAATTAAATATAATTATCCTGGATTTTCATTGGATTTGTCCATAAACATATTTATCACAGCATTTTAATAATAT